CCTGCTCAGCGGGAAGCCTGCTTCTCCCTCTCCCACTCCCCCTGCTTGTGTTCCCTCTCTCTCTGTCTCTCTCTCTCTGTCAATTAAATAAATAAAAAAAAAATCTTTAAAAAAAAAAAAGAAAAAAACTACCATGAAGGCCAATATCCCAAAGATATTGGTTACTACCTCTAATATGTTTTCTACACATAGATAAGATATACACACACATTAACACCTAAAAGAGAGAAAGGGTGCATCCCCTACTATACTACAAGCATTCCTGAAGCACTCCTTTCTTAACAACTATTCTATATTTCTAGAAATTTTCTCTAGTAGGTATAGCAGTTAAGCCTGTTATATGGAATAATTTGTGAAATGGCTATTTTAAACTATAATCTCTTCATTTTCTCGAAAGAATTATGTTTGAGATCAATATCTACTCTAAAACTATTAAGTAAAGTAAATCATATGCAGTAATGATAATCTTCATGCGGAACAATTATTTAAAAGTTTTGTTTTGTCTTGTTTTAATGTAAGAGCGCTTTCTTCTAAATGAGGATGCTGAACATCCACGGAGCAGCTCCGGATGAGGGCCCCTCACGCCTCCTCACCACCACCACCACCGCCCCGCCCCCCCCACGCCGCCCCGTCAGAGGGGGATTTACAGTTGAACACAGTTTGATAACCTCTGGTTCAGTGCAAAGTGCAGAGGTTTTAGAGTCAAAAAGACCTGGGCCTCATCCTTATCTGTGAGATCTTAGATGACTTAATCTCTTGAGTCTCAGTGTCTTCACCTAGAATAGGATTAATATTTCTACAGAGTCATTAATGGAGATTATGTAACTTATATAATGAATGCATCAAAGAGTGTCAGGTAATCAATAGCAGGTGCTCAGTAAACATTGATTCCCTACCCCTTCCCCTTTCTTCCCCCTCCTTCAGGTTTATCTCCAAGATCAGGAAAGGAGGATTTAGAGCGGGAGGAGGTAAAATCAGTTTAACACATTAAAAATATAAGACAGTAAAAAAATAAAAAATAAAAAAACCCCACTATAAATAAAAAAATAAAAATAAAAATGTAAGAAAGTAAAGTGGATTATCTACAAAATGTTGAATTCCCGGGTGAATGACTCACTGTGGCTTATCAAATCCCTGAAATAAAAGGAATCCTCTTAGCGCCAGGTATCAGCAGAGAAAAAAATTCAAAAGCTTATAAAAGGGCCCTTTGTCTCAGCTTACTCTCGATTAAGAAAAATTCCCATTAGTGACAACAGTCCAGCTGCCCTTGCTACAAGAAAGAAATGGGTGTGTTCTTTTTCATAACACCAAAAGGAAAATTATTTTTAACAAGCTGAATTCATTAGTAATAATACATTTTTTTCAAAGATTTATTTATTTATTTGAGAGACAGTGCTCGAGCGCGCATGTGAGTGTGAGGTGGGGGAGGGGCGGGCAGAGAGGGAAAAGGAGAGAAGCAGACTCCCTGCTGAGAACAGAGCCCCAGGCCCTGAGGCGGCCGGCCCATCTCAGGACCCTGAGATCAAGACCTGAGCAGAAATCAAGAGTTGGATGCCCAACCAACTGAGCCACCCAGGTGCCCCAATAATAGATTTTAAAGAATCAAAGACTAATAGCCAGTGCAGCATGTTCTTTGTTGTTCCTGATCACCGAAAGGGTAAAGAAAACCTGAATTCTATTCAAGGGATTTTTTTTTTAAAGATTTTATTTATTTATTTGAGAGAGCTGAGAGAGAGAGCGAGCACAGGAGCCAGGCGAGGGGCAGAGGAAGAGGGAGAAGCAGGCTCCCTGAGACCCTGAAGTCATGACCTGAGCCAATAACCGACTGAGCCACCCACATGCCTCACTATTCAAGGGATATTTTAAAGCAACTTCATAAGACAGTTTTCAGATGTATAAAGTTTCCCCTTCACGGTCCTGAATGGTCATATGCTCTGCACAACAGGTAGGTGACACCTATACAGCCCTGGTACTCAAAGTGTGGTCCCAGGACCCCAGAGGTATCACCTGAGAGCTCGTTAGAAATACAGAATCCCAGGCTCCACCCGGACCTACTGAGTCAGAACCTGCAGTTTAAGGAGATCCCCAGGTGATTCACAAACACTTAAAAGTCCAAGAAGCACTGCTATACACCGAGTGCTCTAAGGAGAGAAATCAATGAAAATAAGGGGAAAATGCACTGTTTCCACTCCCTGGCCTCACACTGCAGCAAACCTCTCACTGCATCACCAGTCGTGCTGGGAAATTAGCCCACTGCCCACTAATGTAGGCCTCACTGCAGTCATCTGAGACTACTAGAGTTGGCTTCTTCCACCGTGACCACCAAAAAACATCTAGACTACTCTTGGAAGAGTCCAAGGGTGAGAATCACACCGTTTCCTATGAAGCCCACAAATAATTAATGCTTGGAAAGCAATAACGTAGTCACCAACAGTTGGGAGTAGTTTTGAAGGGCTGATCTAGCACCTTCTCCTCAAGGAGGCAAATTTCTTCCTCCAAGAAGGCAGAGTTAAGCTGGATTTGTGCTTCCAATCTATATTTAATAAGCCTTTTATATGGTATAGGCGATGGGGGGAGAGGAACTAGCAGGCAAGAACACAGACTGTTGTCTAGTTGAAAGAGAAAGGGCTTTGGGGTTAGACAGGCCCAGGTATGAATCCCAGCTCCACTACTGGTCAGTGGGGGCCATGGGTTTGATTCTCAAATCCCTGAGCCTCAGTTTCTTTATCTATAAAAGAGAAATTATTCCCCTGTACTTCAGAGGTATACACTAATCCATTCACCAGTTATATACTGAGTGCCTACTGTATGCTAGATCCAAAGGATACAAACTGAACGGACAGCTCGGAGTGCCCTGGGAGTCAAGTAAATAGCTTCAATATAAGGCAGCTGGACTGCCCCTGTAAGGGGCACCTGACATACACATGGGGGAGGTGGGGGAGGCGGAGTCAGGCAGGGATACCTGATGAACAACTAACCTGAGCACTGACTCCTGAAGAGGAAGTAGTCAGGTGAATGGGTGGAGGAAGCGGCAGGTGGCGAGCAAGAGAGGCTGGAGGCAAAAGAAAGCAAGGGACAGATAACAAAGAGGCTTATAAATCACATTTAGGGCCTTGAACTTTATTCTGAGGATAATGGGATCCACTGAAGTTTTAAGGTTTTATCTAGGGACGTGACACAAGAGGTTTGCATTTTATGGAGGATAGTGAGGGAAGCATCAAATACTGCATAGACGGTCCTCAGTACACGTCCATTTGCTTTCCTTCTGTCTCCAGCAAGGCAAAGAGATGACAGCATTCTGAAACCATTATAAAATCTACCCACCCAAAAGAATAATAATGCTCTCTCTTTCCCATTAGCAAATTCAGATTACACATCCAATAGTTGTTTCATAGAGAAGAGTCAACTGGAGGAGTGAAGATGGTTCTTCCTTTTTCCACGGTGTATGACTAACAATCAGAATTATATATTACTTGGGGCACCTGGGTGGCTCAGTGGGTTAAGCATCTGCCTTCAGCTCAGGTGTGATCCCAGGGTCCTGGGATCGAGTCCTGAGTCAGGCTCCCTGCTCTGCGGGGAGCCTGCTTCTGCCTCTGCCTGTCTCTCATGAATAAATAAATAAAATCTTTTTTTAAATATTTAAAAAAAAAAAAGAATTGTTTATTACTTGAAACATGTGACCAGAGAAACAGGACTACGGTATTTCATTCTATGAATGCAAAGAATTCCTTTATTACCAATTTCCAGTTTTCAAGTCTCATGTTTCAAATTTCCTAATATTTATTTCCCACATTTGACTACTTATGTTTTTAAGTTTTTTAAACATATTTTAATTCCAGTACAGTTAACATACAATGTTATATTAGTTTCAGGCGTACAACACAGTGATTCAACAATTCTATACATTACTCCGTGCTCATCATGATAAGTGTATTCTTTAATCCCCATCACCTATTTCACCCACTCCCCTGCCCACTTTCCCTCTGGTAACCATCAGTTTGTTCTCTATAGTTAAGATTTGATTACTTGCTAACAATAGTGAAACTATACTAGGATTTAAAAGCCATTTAAGTACAGAATTTCATTTGGGAGTCACTTAAAGCAGCTGACAAGAGAACAATCCTATTTAGAATTCTATCGAAAGAAAGGTGGAGGAATTCCCAAATACTATGGTAACTGATAATCTACTATGTATTAAAACACCATTTATCACTAAAATACCTCATTCTTTTCTCTTTATCCTCTCCTGCCAAGACACCTACTGCCTCACTAGCAGTGGAATCAGTAATACCTGTGGTTTTTGGTAAAATTACCCATTTTGTGAATTTCCATAATCACCAAAAAAATATATATATCTAGGCAAAATTCACTATTTATATGTAACTCATTTTATTTCATTTCCCTTTTGGGACAAAATATTTAGCTGGCCAGGTCAAAATGAGGAAAAAATATACTTACGAGTCTTATGATTTGTAAAGGGCCCATAAATAACATTATTTTTAGATGCTATCACAATCTATATTACGATTTTCCATTATCATGGATTCTTTTTTTCATTCAAGTGTCATAATAAAGTCACCACATATCACATCTCACCTGAGCATCTTGTTCAACTTGTGCTTCATCAATTCCAGCATCAGGGTCTCTATTAGCCTACAAGAAATAATGTCACATTATTGAATTACATGAGCATTTTTATTCAAAAGGAAAATTAGTTCCACCCGATGGTTGTGCACATAAAGCTCTTTCTCTTAGGAATAATACAATTTTAAGATAGCAATTCTACAATATTTCACATCATCACACAGCACTGTCCAAAACCAATCTGACCCTTTTGATTTTAAATCCTATGAATGAAAGAGAATAGTGATATCTTAAATAAAAAAAGCAAAAAAACAAAAACAAAAATAAAAAAACCATTAAGTTAGCTAGCTATTGAGAGTTTAGGTCAGATATTCTGAAAAACAAACAAACACAGGCAACATACAACCACAATCAGGCAAGTATGAGAAATGATTAAAGAATTTTAAATGACCTTACTTAACTAAATTCAGACAAGTTCAGCTTCAGATTTTTTAATCAAACTCTAAATAGTCTCTACCCAATACCTGAAGGAGAACCACCAACATCCTCTGGTAGTACCCTGATGTATCTCCCACCACGTCATCTTCCAGGCTTGAGCCATATTCTGCAACAGAATAATTTCATACTTATTTATAGCTTCTTTCAACTAAAAAAGGTAGCCTGCCCCATTAATCAAATGGAAGAGACATAAAGGAAGGAATATTTGATTAGTATAAATGTTCTCTACTCCATCTCTGAGTGCTCTAAAGACTAAAGGCAAATGCTTAAATGAGTGACTGGTAGAAAACAAATTAAAGTCTCTCAAAAGCACTCAATTCAAGCCTAAATCCAGACTCAGCCATTTAGAAACACTCTCAACCAATGCAGTTAATACTCTGTAGACATGTGATGGGTACAGGAAAGCCTCTAACATACAATTGATCATAATTTTAAACTCTAATGCTTTCTTCCAAAAGTTTTACATGATTAGTTTCCAAAGATCTTCTAACCTCTAAAATTCTGAGTTTTTCTTTCTTTAGGCATGGCCATTCTTTCCCCTAATAAGATATTTTTTCCTCTGCAGCAAATAAAGTTAACTCTGAGAGACAGCAGTGATGTTTTAAAATATGCCCCTTCCCAGATCTATTTCCAGTTATTCCACATAATGCCACAGGAAAGGGGAGAACTGGAATCTACAAAAGTCTACGCACCCTCTTCACTAACTCAAACAGCTGCTATTGAAGGCAGCTCCAACACATTTAAATATTTAATCATTATTTGAAAGCAGACAAACTTTAAAAGCCTGACACTTCTGTATTAAAAAGTCTAGAAGACCACAGGGGACAGGAGGGAAAACCAAACGGAGAGAAATCAGAGAGGGAGATGAACCATGAGAGACTCTGGACTCTGGGAAACAAACAGGGTTACAGAGGGGAGGGGGGTAGAGGGAAGGGGTAACCGGGTGACGGGTATTAAGGACGGCACGCATGGTGATGAGCACTGGGTGTCACACACAACTAATGAACTGTTGAACGCTACATCAAAAACTTATGAAATACTATATGCTGGCTAACTGAACATAATATAATATAATATTAAATAAATAAATAAATATGTCTAGAAGAGCTCCATCTTTATTTCAACCAGTTACCCAAATACAAAATGTTGAAGGACTCTTCTATCCCTTCGCGTACTACAAAACCTGTAAGTGATTAATGATCAAATCCTTTCACATAGTTCCCCTCCCTCTAATCTATCCCCATCATACCTCCCACCAACCTATGGCCCACCTAGGTTGGGCCATAACTGCCTAGCTTACCTCCCCACACGTATAGCTACCTAATCAGCCTCTTGATTCAAATCTCCTTCCTTCAGTACTCCACCGCCCATTACACCACCTCGGAATCAAGTGCAAAGCTCTCACCCAGTCATGTAAAACCATCGAAACACAGCCTGCATTTACTCTGTTTATCTTCCGCACGAGACATGCACATACGCTCCATGACAGCCAGCTTCCTTCCACTCCTTCCATATACTATTCTCATTCTAGTCCCCATGGCATTGCAGACAGGGACGAACACACCAAAAATGTTTTCTTCACCTCCCCAAAACCTACCTCATCTTGAAACCTTGTCTGACTGCACCACAGAGCCTCTTCTAACATCAAAAGCCTTGATGACCTCTCCGCTCTAAATGGATTCTTGCATGAAACATTTTTTGGTATTTGACTTTAGTTTGGGTTTTGCTATCCTTTAACAGCTGCAGTCAGTTTCTAAATCACGTCACCCCTCAAGAGACTGCACACTCCTAGAGGACGGGAGCTATGGTATGTGCACCTTTTGTGTCATTCGTGACAGCCAGTGCACCACCAGACACACAGCCAGGGCGTAGTACATGACAGCACCCCGTTTGTCATCCAGCACACAAAGGCTCCCTCACAACGTCAACATGCCCAGAGACAAATCTTTGAATATTACATCAAATAAAACTTGTAGGTGATCTTCTGCAGTTACATGTATCCCCTCTGCCTTAGTGGTTGGGACCTATCCAACTTTAACAAGAGAAGCAGGAAAGAAAGATCCAGCACTTCAGAAAGTTAATCATTTAAATTTCACACTGTTCTGACTAGCTGAGTTACAATGTCATTTCTAAAATAAATAAACTAATGCCAAGACAGGGACACATTTTCCTAGCTGAAGGCGCTCAGCTTGTTGGTCTGCTGACTGAGCTGATAATCTCAAGAGTCTGCTCAGTCAGGTAGGGGAAAGAGTCTGGTACAGAAAATGTGATGAGCAAAGAACACTCTCCCTTTACTTTTTATTTCATTTTCTTGGTTCCATTCACAGAACATACTTCAGATTGAAATGATAGATTTTTTTTCACCAAAAAAAGGCACACCAAAGAGAAAAATTAAAATGCAGAATATTCAAGCACTACCATTGACTAAAATGACACACATTTACTCAAACATTTTCATCAACTCTGGTCTGGACAAGGTTTCTTTTCCCACATTCCAAAAGGATCTTTTAGATAACACTTAACTTTTACTAATACTAAAACTGATTTTTTTTTTTTCAGGAAGAAAAACCACCTACATCTTGAAGTTCATGGAAAAGAAAAACAACCTGTATGTCCCTACACGAGTTGCAAATTCTACATAAAAGTAAACTCCCATCTTCATCAGAAGCTTCTCTTAAGTACCAAAATAGATACAGGTCTAGGAAAAAGCAGTCTTTTCCTTACTGAAGGAAAACAAGCTTGAATTGTTGCTTATTCATGCATTCGCTCACTCGTTTATTCAGGAATCACATATGGCCTGCCTCCTGTAACCATGAAGAATTGCACTCACTTTAGAAAAGTGAAAAAGTGACAGCGGAGATGAAGGGGAAATAAAATTCCAAATGTTTACCTTCTTCATAAACTTGTTTTATGGCTCTCAGTTCTTCAGGTGTCCTTGAAGCAATAATTTCCGTCAGTACTTTTTCATCTGTCCCAGCTCCCTGTTTGGAAATTTATTTTTAATAGAGAACATATGTCAATAAGATGAAAGAGTTATTTTCCTAGAACAGATGTTACCCAAATTGCATAATTATATAAACTATCCAACTTAATATTCACTTCTTTATATACAAGTTCTATTAGTTACAGAATTAAAAAATTTCCAATTAATTTTCTCTCCAAAGACAATTTTATCCTTTTTTGTCTAATGAAAAACATTTATTGCATGTATGTGATATATGACCCAAAAGAGATTATATAAATTTTTAATTTTATTCTAAATGGTTTCATTCTAAATAGTTTAAAAGTAAAACATGTTAATGAAACATGAAATTAAGAAGACTGAAAGAGTAAAAATGAAAACTTTACATAAATTTACATGGAGGAGCACTGATACTTAAACAATTGTACTTCAAAACATAAAGCCCCTGGCCTCAAATTAAGTTTTCCATGGAATTTCCAATTCTGTACCAAAGGAAATAATAAATGTAGCATTGCTTAGTAATTAGGAACTGGATCAGTACAAAGGAATTGAAACATGCTTTCTGGATTTTTGGAACGTACAGTTGACCTTTGAACAACGTGGGAGTTAGGGGTAAGGACTAGCTCCCAAGTCAAAAATCTGTGTATAATTTTTGACTCTCCAAAAACTTAACTACTAAGAGTCTACTACTGTTCGTCGGAAGCCTTACTGATAACATGAACAGTCGATTAAGACATGTTGTATATGTTATATGCATTACAAATTGTATCCCTACAGTAAAGTAAGATAGAGAAAAGAAATGCTATTTAGAAAATCATAAGGAAGAGAAAAGACAGGAACTATACTGTACTGTAAAAAATCAGTATATGCATAGTTCAAACCTGTGTCATTCAAAGGTTAACTATAATTTTAGTTGGTTTTCTTTCTTCTGATGATAAAAGTCTATCTACACTGCTAAATTAGAAGATATAAGCAATGATAGAGACAAACTTAGTTTTTACAAATAGCGTTATTCTCTTTATATCTCTGTTTCTTTTTCAAAAATCAAGCACAAGGGGCGCCTGGGTGGCTCAGTTGGTTAAGCAACTGCCTTCAGCTCAGGTCATGATCCCAGAGTCCTGGGATCGAGCCCCACATTGGGCTCCCTGCTTAGCGAGGAGTCTGCTTCTCCCTCTGACCCTACCCCCTCTTGTGGTCTCTCTCTCACTCTCTCTCTCAAATAAAATAAAATAAAATCTTAAAAAAAAAATCAAGCACTGAAAAACCTATGTTTATGCTCTGGCAGAATTTCAATTACTACTGACATTTCAGAAGTACTCCACAAAAAGGCCGTTTTTCAATAACCTGAGATTTTGTTTACTCCAAAAGAAGCACGGTGGGCAAATGAAGAGAATAAGCACAGAAAAGCTCCTAACTCCTCCTAAGGCCTCTTCTCCCTTCATTCCATAAGTAAGAATCTCTGTGCTGTATTATCTCCTTGTTGTTAAATCTCCTTTTGCCCATTCAAAATCTACCACTGGGTGGCTCAGTCATTAAGCGTCTGCCTTTGGCTCAGGTCATGATCCCAGGGTCCTGGGATTGGAGCCCTGCATCGCATCGGGCTCCCTGCTCGGCAGGAAGCCTGCTTCTCCCTCTCCCCCTGCTTGTGTTCCCTCTCTCGCTGTGTCTTTCACTGCCGGATAAATAAAATCTTTAAAAAACAAAAAAAAATCTACCAGTGATTGTACTACTTCCTGTCCCGTAAGTCTAAACAACGTCTCAAAGTAGACATATTTATACAATATTCCAAACACCAGTCAAGGGAATACACATTTAGTTATTTGCTACAATTAAATTATAATAAGATTATCAGCTACTATTTTGGTATTATATATACTATTTTAGTATTTAGAAGTATAGGAAAGAAAGAAAGGGTATTAGAAAATCCTTCCTATCTGAAAATTCTCTCTGTGGCGTTATTTTTTTAACCTAAAATGAATAACAATATTATTTCATAATCGGGCAACTTTCTATTTTAAAATCTAAAATACTTAACCTGTAACATTTTTTAACACATCTCAAAATTAGAAAACAGGCATGAAGATAAAATATAAAGAGCTGCAAAAAATATTAAAATTTTAAATAGCCACTATTACTGAGTGAACTATGCAAAAAGATTAAATGACACACTTGTAATTTTCTCCCTCCTTTTCTTATTGCCTCCTATGCAATTTTGTCCTCCAAGAAACCCTCACAGAAATAACTCAAAAATTTTTAAGTGTAATTACCAACACAAAATAATAGTATTCATGACAAGAATGTTCCTCTCACTAATTCTTTTACCTTAAGAGCATGCTTCAGTTCATAGGCATCATAAAGCCGAGAAGGTTTCATCAGAGCCATGATTAATTTTTCAAATTTTCCAGTCAGTTCTGATTTCAGGTCATCCAGAAGGTCCTAAATTACAGAAAATACAAATTTGTGAACCAGGCAGAAATTTTAAGGAGATTCTTCTTAAATATAAAGCATAGCCCTTTGCACGAATGAATTATTTATGTTGCCATCTCCAAGCAGAAAAAAGGCATGTGAGTTAAACAAAACCCCAGTTTTGAATAATGTACTTTTGACATCTGACCTAAAGCTTAAGCTAAAACAAAGCCACTTATGTGTCAAGGTATTTGTTTTTAAGAAATGTTTTTCTGAACTTCAACAGTTAAAAAATGAATAAAAAATAGGTTAAAGATAGTTTAAAAGTACTGTTTTGAGAAACATGTGTATCTTTAAAAACAATTTTCCCAAAATAAAATCATAAATGCATTTTTACAAATGACAAAATCTAGCCTATCACACCTAAACGAAATAATTTTTTCTCTCAATATTTATTAATATTCCAATACATAATGAATTATGTTTATAATTATGCTCCTGACTACCGAGAGACAGCTGCTACTACGGAGAAAATATAATTATGAAAAGAAAAGCAGTATTCCCTACCCATTCCAGTTTTAGCACATAGGAAACCAGAAACTATGTTCGGAATACTCTTTTTGTTTGTTTGTTTGCTTTTCATTTGTTTCTTAATTGATGAAAACAAATTTTCAGAATAACAAAATTATGTTTGTTTTTCATATACACAGTAATTCATTTAAATAACAAATTTAATTTTTATTTGATCTGTTAATCAAGTAAGAGCATTTAAATCAATGAACTAAAAACACATTTATTAAAATACCACTCCACGAGGAACCAAGAATGAAACTATGTCACAATAAAACAGACTATCATACAGGTTTGCATTTGGAAAATAGCTCACAAAACAATCCTGAGAAGGAAGCAGGCAAGAAGAGAGGCAGCTATCGCCATGGGATCTTTTGGCACTTTGGTAGCAACAAGCAAGAGAAAACAATTATGGGGATAAGTTGGGTGAACACTGTAAACCAATAGCTGATAATTAAGAAACTTAAAAAAATGGGGCGCCTGGGTGGCTTAGTCATTAGGTGTTTGCCTTTGGCTCAGGTTGTGATCCCAGGGTCCTGGGATTGAGCCCCGCGCCAGACTCCCTGCTCCGCGAGAAGCCTGCTTCTCCCTCTCCCACTCCCCCTGCTTGTGTTCCCTCTCTCGCTGTGTCTCTCTCTGTCAAATAAATAAATAAAATCTAAAAAAAAAACCAAAAACTTAAAAAGAGAAAAGGAATAGTAAAATCAGAATAACAGAATAAATAATGTTTACAAAGGAATATTCGTAGAGTAGAAACTAGCCTTAAACCATATCGGGGCTCTCACATTGTAATTTAGGATGAAGTGCAGTCTTACCCTGCCAAATAGAGTTTTAAAAGCCACGGCGATTTCCTGGCGCTGAGCATTACTTCGGGATGTCAACAGAGTCAAGATGCTCTCCTCATCAGTGCCTGCAATTTATGTTCGAAGAATTACATCTTGGCTCCCCCATGCCCACTGTCTCAATAACCTTTGGGACCAGTGCCCCCAGGCACTTTGATTCCTTACCTCATAAAATAGACTTATTAAATAATTCATTAAGCTACAAAATGCACAACATATAACATGTTATATTTTCAATATAAACTATCCCCTATTCCTGATGTATTGTGAAGTAGGTGGAAAAATATTCCTGACTTTTAAAAACTGAGTGCACCTAGTTTTTCTTGCAACAGATAGTTAAACAATGGATATTCACAAGGCAGGTGTTGAGTGTTACAGGAGATTAAGAGAGGAGAAAGATACAGACCCTGGTTTCAAGTTACAATTTAGGGTGAAAAATACAAATACACAAGGACAACCTTGAGCTAAGGCAGAATGTTACAAGGGCCTCAGGAGAGGTCCAGGTGTTGAGTGGGGTTTCAGAGGAGGTTCTCTTAGCTGATAGGTGGAAGGAGTTTTGGGAAAACTTCATGAAGAAGGTGACACCCGAAAGAGTCGTGAAGGATGGAAGGGTTTTTATCAGGCAATGATACAGGGAAAGAGGACAGGCCTTTAAAATGAGGGCAAGGCTCAGCAGTAGGAAAATACAGGGTTTTCACGAATAACAGATAACGCAGCATGGTTGGGTCAGAGAACACACGGAGTGGTAACATGAGCTGAGTCGGACAATGTGGGCTGGGATACTAAGGAAGGGCATGCCCGGCCAGAAAGCTAACGCTAATCTTGCTACAATGGAAATCTCACAAGATGTTCAGAATGGAGTGAGAAGGGGTCAGAGCCAAGTCTGAAGAAGGTGGATCCCCACTCATGGACACTAGTATAGAAGGAGCCTGAGGACAGAAGATCAGTTCTGTGTAGAAATCCTCCAGATGAGAGGTTTATACATGGCTAGAAAGGAGACTGGGGAAAGAGAAGATAGTTGAATGTAAGAGACTGCAGAACTAGACACCTGATCGGGCAAAGGGGACAAAGACCTGCACAGCTGATCACTCTCAGGAATGTCTGCTTATCTACTCGGTCAGCTACCTCCCAGGTAAAGCTGAAAAGCTAAAAAACAAAAAGGCCAAATTTAACTTCCTGTTCAGTTACAGAGATTGAATATTAGGGATGATCAGTCATAATTATTTTGTTACCTTCATGTATCTTCCCTCTTTTTATACATTTCAGATAAAATATTCTAAAATTAATCTTACTGTAAATCAGTGACTTTTTGTTTGGAAAAACAAATGTCCCGTGTTTGTTTGTTTGTTTAAGAACAAAAGGAAGGTTGAATTTACCCAGGCCTTTCATGGCCTTCCGAAGAGTTTCTGCATCAGCCCGCTCATCAAATCCAGGGAAGGCAACCACGGTGCCTTTAAGAGCCTGGGACAGGAAACACAGTGATATTATTCATGGCATGACCAATACAGACAAAGCAAATAATAACAAAGCAAGCCATTGCTCTATATCATGTTCAGTCTTTAAATAAATTTACCATTTGATAACCCCATTTGAAATGGGAAGAGGACCACTTACAGTTTGGATTAGCAGAATCAATTCAGTGCATGAACTATCCTGGTCCACCTGCAATACCATTAATGGGAAGGTCTGGCTTCCAAGGCCTTCGTCCCTTGGGCATTGCCCCCAGTGTCCATGCCCCGGTGACACCCCCAGATTCACAGAGGGCATTTCCTTGCAGGATTCCTTCCATTTAAGTCTCTTGCCACTTTGATGGAGGGCATGCTGAACCTCCATTGAAACTTGATGCCCTGCCCTAGGCACTCAACTCCAAGTGATATTTTTACTATATAACTTTTCATCTAGTCCTGTTTCTTTTTACTTAGGGATTTTATGATAACCTGGTAAAGCCTGAAAAAAATATTTGGTAATTCATATGCCAAGTCTTTGAATTTAGAACTTTATAAAAGTAGGGACACCTGGGTGGCTCCGTTAAGCGTCTGCCTTTCAGCTCAGGTCATGATCCCAGGGGCCTAGGATCCAGTGCCGTATGGGGGGGGGGGGTCCTTGCTCAGCAGGGGGCCTGCTTCTCCCTCTGCCTGCCCCTCCCCCTGCTTGTGCGCATGAGCTCTCTCTCTTTCTCTGACAAATAAATAAAATCTTTTTTAAAAAAAGAACTTTATAAAAGTATATTGGAAGACATTCTTCATAAGCTTTGCTGTTATGCTTATTTTATCATATATGTAGTGCTTTTATTTATTTATTTATTTATTTATTTATCAGCGAGATTGAAAGCATGAGCAGGGGGAGTGGCAGGCAGATCAAGAAGCAGGCTCCCCGCTGAGCAAGGAGCCCCATGCGGGACTTGATCCCAGGACCCTGGGATCCCGACCTGAGTCAAAGGCAGACACTTAACCGACTGAGCCACCCCGGCATCCCATGTAGTGCTTTTAATCATCAAAATATTTTAAGGCTTCCCCCTCAAAATCTGCAATATCATTAGTTCTTTAGAATCAGAAGGCTTTATGAATACTGAGTCCTAAATCTTTATCTTATGATAAAAGGAAGATCCCAGCATTAACTTTTACTAATAAATGCTTTTGAAGTCCTTCAAAACTCCTGTTAAGGTTCTATCTAAAACTGAAGAGGGGCGCCTGGGTGACTCAGTTGGTTTAGCATCTGACTCTTGGTTTTGGCTCAGATCATGATCTCAGGGTCATGAGATGGAACCCTAGGGCAGGCTCTGCACTCAGAGAGAAGTCTGCCTGAGATTCTCTCTCCTTCTCACTCTGCTCCTCCCACTGCTCACGTGGATTCACACGCACTCTCTCTCTCTAAAATAAATAAATAAATCTTTTTTTTTTATTTAAAAAATAAATAAAACTGAGGGAAAAACAGCTACAAGAGGGGAAGGGCTGAGAATACTTGTGTTGGTTTATAATCATGTGCGTTTTATTAGGAATGTATGGAAGGACAATCACCTACAAGGAAAAAATTTCTGGCAATTTCATGTGGTTCAACATAATTAAGAGAAACAGTAAGTTGAGAGAGAAATTGATACGATTTGAGAAAACAGTCCTCCAAAATTGGCATGGATTAGGAATGTCCTATCTCTCAGGTCAATCTGCAGTTTCCCTCTGTTTAGTGGAACCACTTCAAATTGATTATGAAGACACCATCAATATGTCATCATAAAAAGTGAATAAATACCACAGGTTCTCTCAGTGTGAGAACCTAGGACTGACATGACAGATAACTTAGTTCTCGTCTGTTTATTCATTCACTCAATAACCATTTTTTTAACGCTTTCCACATGCGGACTATTGTACTAATCACTAGGAAAAAGTGATGATCTCTAAAAGTCAAGAGAACATGACAGGCACGTAAATAATCAAGTGCAGTAAGAGTACACACACACACAGGTTTCATCAGGGTACGTATACACATAAAGGAGGGGCTGAGTTGGGAATAGTGGAAAGAGAAGATATCAGAAAAACTTCCCAAAAAATGTCTTGAAAGTTGCCTGTGATTTTCCAAGACAGGTTGAAGAAAGTAGAGAAGTACAGGAAGGTATAATCCAGCATGCATAAAAACATGAAAGAACTAAAAAATCGGGTGCTTTGGACAAAGGATTAAGAGTTTGAACAGACTGAAGCAAACAGTAAGTATGCAGAGAAAAGCAAACGGTGGTCATGGTGGGAAGTAAGGAGAAGCTGCATGGCCATGCTAAGAAGTGCCGACTTCATCCTGTAGGCAAGGGGAAGTCATTAGGGGACATTTCAGTAGGGAAGAACAATGTCGACTGTGCCCAGTAATATTACTGGGGCAGCAGTGGAGACAACGGAATGGACTAGGCGAGAGTGGAGACGGGAAGGCTGTTGTAAAAACAACTAACCGAGGAAGAAGACAGGACCTGATCCAAGTCAGGAGCGGTGGTAATGGAAAGGAGAAGACAGAGAGGAACAGAACCAAGGCAGAAGGGAACCAATTAGGATGATTCCTTTTTTGGATGGGCAATAGGATGACTGGTCTTACGTTTCTCCCCAGTAGGTATACTGGAAGAGAAGCAGGCTTTGTCAGTTACCAGAGTACATAAGTGGTCAGTGGAGCTGTGGGAGGAGGCTATCACAAAAGGCAATGTTAGTGGGGTGGCAAGGAGAACCAGCAGAGAAGGGAACACCTGTCTGCTACAATCAGAATGGCAGCTAAGGGGCACCTGGGTGGCTCAGTCAGTTAAGTGTCCAATTCTTGATCTCAGCTCAGGTCTCAATCTCAGGGTCATGAGTTCAAGCCCCTGCACTGGGCCCCTAATACTTGCTCAGTGTGTCAATGAGCCAAGCACAGTGTTCAGAGCTTCACATGGATCATCTTATTTTACAGGTGAAGAAACACATTGGCTTAGAAATGTTTGGAGAATCATCCAAGGGACCATCAAGCAAGTAGCAGAGCCAGTACCTGAAGACAGGCCATGGAACTGCAGGCTATTAATCATGATGGTGCATAGCCTCCCAAAAACAAAAAGGAAATCTCCAAAGAGGGTGGTGATGGCATGAAGAAGCCAAAGGGGAAAAAATGTTCCAGGAAGAAAAGAAGAAAAGGCAGTGTCCAATATCACAGAGAAGTCAAACAGGAGGTGAGGGTGAAAGGGTCCAGCGGACTTGATAACGAGGTCTTTGATGGTGGTAAAAAGCATGACTGGAGAACACCAAAAAAAGTGAATTGTGAGGCAAAGCATCTCCATGAACTCCGCTTTTACAAATGATGTTTTTTCTCTTTCAAAAACTCACTTAAAAAAAAAATACTTTATCCAGTTTATAGGCTATGGAGTTGCTAGTAGATCGAGAGGTTAAGAACAGAGGAGACAAGAGAGATTTGCCTTAAAAAGACATCTGACCGCTAAGACTGAAGGAAATGAGGTGAAAGATGGAAGTATCCTCAGAATCTCAGCGACTATGAAGAAGAAATAACTGCTGATTGTATTTTTGAGAGCTTTCTAGAAATTGGGAAACACGTGCTACATTCCACACGATCCGAGTCACTGTCAAAACTAGCCAAAGCCACGTAGTGGTAGTTAGGGACCAGAAGTGAATCGCAGATGTGAGTCACAAGGGCAGAAACCTTGTTTGGACATCCTGTCCAAACCCCATCCCAGTCCACACAAAATTGTCTGCACTGGGTAAATGTGACTTTCCATGACTCATGCTAGAGGGCTTCTCCTTTTTCCTATAGCCCCACTAGCCTCAAGTTAAACATTTATACCTTACCCAGGTTAATTCCAACTGTGAGTGGGTACTGCTCCCTTCCCCCATCCCGAGTTCCTCGTCAGTTACCTTCACTCCCTGCCACCAAGGTCTTCTCAAGTGCATTAGTATATATTCTCAGACCATACATGGCCAAAACATGTAATTCACTCTTTTAACTCTCACCTTCAAAATTATCCACTCTCCTAGTTCTATAATTTTGTAGGCTTTTTTTGTTCCTTTATTCTAAATGAGAAAGTTCTTTACTGTCAAGGACTAGGTGTGCCAAAATAAAATGAACATAATTAAGCCAAAAAAAAAAAAAAACAAAACAAAACAAGTGAAGGGTTGCTTTTCTAGACAGAATTTAAAGAAACGGGAAAACAACAGAAACAACAACTTCAAATTTAAAGATGAGAAAACATTCACCTGTCTGGAACCTTTTAAACTGAAGCCTTCCTGAAGGCACAGAAGAGAACGAAACCCTCTTTAAATCTGTCTTCCAGTTTAAGGAAATCAATACTTAATCAAACACCTACCCAGCGTTCCTCATACTAATTAGGAAGCCAGAAACCAGGAAGCAAACCACTACAGCTGAGCAACTGCTAAGCGGCCACAGGGTGATTTTTAAGTATGGTTCTTCTGAGGCTCAGGCTTGACAAAAATCCTCTGGAGGCTGCCCAGAGAGGTGGGGAACAGGGATGTCCAATGGCAGAACTCTGCCTTCACTCCCCAGCCAGAGCAGTTTAGGTCTTATCTGATGTACACAGGACAAGCCCCTTAATATTTCCTGGGATAATGCGTCCCACTGAGGAGCAAAGAAAAAAAAATTAAAAGTCACTGTACCAAGAAAAATAAAATGAGCAAGAAAAGAGGGGAAAACCAGCATGATATGATTATGATCAAAGTTGCAAGGTAAAATAAATATCAGAAGAAAAAAAAAAAAAAACCTAGAATCTCCAAGAGGACTGAGGGGTATAAACACAGACAACAGGGGGTGAGAAATAAGATCTCAAGCCCTAATTCTTACCCTTGCTCCAAATTTATCAAAAAAGGTGAAATTTAAGTTCAAAGCCTTAAATTCAAATTGGTTTTTAACAATTACCTTGACCCCTTTCTTAAAATCAAGTGTAAGAGGGGAAAAGTATCACTATAAATAATTTAAGTTCTACGCATAAAGGTAGA